TAGAACTCGTTTATCAAAATGAACAAATCTTTTTTCGTGTCATTTGGTTCATTCAACGAACGAAATGAACGAGTTGACTCGGGAAAAGATTCGTTCATAAACGAGTTCAAACAGGAGAGTCATGAACGCACATCACAGAACAGAGCAAGACGACCATTTGAGCTTATAAAACTTAAACTTTTTTTTATTTTTAATGAGCGATCGTTTCGCTTGATAAGACCCTTATTCATCGTCTGGAATCGTTTAAAGCCCTTTGAATAGTTAGCAGTTTGCACTGAAAGTGTCTTTTGGACCTTGAACCATTTGGTTCCCATTGAAGTCCATTATATGGAGAAAATCCTGGAATGTTTTTCATCAAAAACCTTAATTTCTTTTCGAATGAAGAAAGAAAGACATGGATATCTTGGATGACATGGGGGTGAGTAAATTATCAGCAAAAGGTTTTTTAAAAGTGAACTACACCTTTAATCAATATCACACGAAGAGTGCCATTTTAGTTTTTCTCCTCCAAAATCAGCATGATTAAAATGTGATATTAAGTTTCTACAACAGTTTAATAAACAATAATTTAATTACAACTACAAAATGTTGCGGAACCTTTTTGGTAACACTTTACAATGAGGTTCGTTAGTTAACATTAGTTAACTACATTAGTTAATATGAACTAATAATGAATAGCACATATACAGCATTTGTTAATCTTTGTTAATGTTATTTTCAACATTTACTAATACTTGATTCAAATCTTGTTAACATTAGTTAATGCACCGTGAACTAACATGAACAAACAATGAACAGCTGTATTTTCATGAACTAACATTAACAAAGATGAACAAATGCAGTAACAAATGTATTGCTCATGGTTAGTGCATGTTAGTAAATACATTAACTAATGTTAACTAATGAACCTTATTGTAAAGTGTTACCACCTTTTTTAGCATAAAAGGTTCTTTGGAGTTGAGTAAAGAACCCATGCTTTCATATAGAACCCTTTTTTAAGAGTGTATGCTTGATTTACTCTGTGTTCACACTTGTAGTGTTTCTTTTGGTCCAGAGCAAAGATGAAAATGACACATTTAGTCCTTGTTCACCAAGTGTTCACACTCTCATTTTTTAAGACCAAACCAGGAATTCCTCCGTCACACAAACGATGATCTGTTACAAGGAGAAGGCGTTTCTGACGCTTCAATCGAACTGTAATGGGCAACATCGAGACTATGACAACAGGAACCAGGTTTGCTTTCCTTTTTAGAGTCGCACCTTGTGACATCACTTCCTGTTTTATTGTGTTTAGATGTCTTTGGTCCATGTTGTATTTCAGTCGAATGGTTCGAGTTCCTTTACAGGGTTCTCAGTTCGCTTATTTGGTGCGCACACTAACAGAACAATCACACTAGTTCGTTTTAATCCAACCGAATCTGCCAAGTGCGAACACACTCTAAATTGTCAAGTCCAAATAGAAGTAAAGATACAGAGAGGTTTATTTTTGTCATTTTAAAACCCCTTCCCCTGAACATCTCAAGTTTGACGAATGAATCAGAATTCACATTTTTTATCTCGACTTCCACTGAGAACTGAAAAATGCAAAATAACAGTTTTCATTTTATGATAGAATCCTATAACCTGATGCCACTGGAATTGAATGGGAGTAATGAGGTCATGGGACAAATCCAGCATAATCCTTTATGAAATTTGATTGTTGCACAGTTTGACTATTTCCCATTATTATTTTTTATCATTATTTTAAATAAGGAGTATTGGGTGTGGATGCAGTCCGCAGCAGAACAGAGCTAGTCTCCTCTTTCTTTAGGTATGCGGCTGAAACACAATCATTGTGAAATCCTCAGGTGGCGCATGTGTCAGTCTCGGGTCATCTCCTGTCAATTCCCCATTTCAATCCCCTCTGGCCATTTGAGTGGGAATGAAAAGAGTTTAATGAAATTGGGTTTTGAAATGAATTGGAGGAACGAGACCTACTTTGTTATTATACAGTGGAAGGTGAGGGTTCAAAGTTTATGGCTAATAATGCTTGTGAAGAAAAGATAGTGGAGGCTAAAATAAATAGTAATTCATTTTTGGTCTGGCTGCGGGATGATGGTTCAAGATAGATGCCAATACATTGGATATATGAACTATATATATATATATATATATATATATAGACTAAGCTACTTCATTTCATGATATACATTATGTGAAATTGTGTGAAATTTGTGACAATTCCCGGAAGGACCTTGACGGAGTTTCAATCTGCATAGTGTATGTCATAAATAAAAATTCTTTCTGCCCCATTTACAATTTAAATGGATTTGAGTTCATTTATAAGGGAAATGCTAAGCAGTTGCTAGCCTTTAACATTGTATAACATGCTACAAAAATAGAAAATAATAAAATGTTATTAATTTATTTGAATTCAGCTTTATTTCAGTTTCCAGAACACACACATATTTATAAATGTGTGTGTGTGTGTGTGTTTTAGAAAATGATATCAAGCTAAATCACTGTAAAAAAATATTGTTGGTTTAACTTAAAAAACGAAGTAACCTGGTTGCCTTAAAATTTTAAGTTCATTGAAATGGAAAAATTGAGTTAATACAATGAAGGAGATTGATTTAATCACCATAAACTCAAAATATTATGTTATATGAACTACATGCATGATTTAAAGCTGCAATACCTAAGATTTAGATGCCGCCAGAGGGCGCTACATTCAAAACAACAACAACGGCTTTGCTTGATGACGACGTGGAGGAACGCGGAATGATGGGAACTGTTGTTTTCAACTCCACCGTGGATAAATCAGTCAGACGGGAATGTCATGGATGAGGTAAAGTTAGATTTCTATAAACGTTGCGTTTAATGACATGCTTGTTTTTCATTAAACTGAAATAACCGCGCAAGAAAAGTTAGGTTTAAAAGTAAATTAGTTACTGTACGAGTCACTGGACGAAGCTATGGTGGAGAGGGTTTGAAGGGGCAGGTCTCTTGCAAGGAGTTGACGTGGCTGGTCCTCCTTGGTAACTTTATAAAAATAAAAAATCAATTTAATGTACATTTGACACATCTTTTCATGTCGTGTAAGAGTATTCAACCACAGCTACAGTTTCACAAAATTAACGTTAAGGGGGTCGCACACCGGACGAGAAGCTGCAGCGCCGCGTCGCACCACATAATTATTCGAACACATTACTATCTATAAGTGTACACATACCGGCGGCGCCATTCGGCGTCTGTCCGCGGTGCCCAGCAACGCCTCAGGACCGTGTTGCTTTGCTTCTCGTGGCGCGTTGCATCTCGTCCAGTGTGCGACCCCCTTTACAGCCAACAGTTCACATTCCGAGAATAAATGAAAAGAATAATTGTGCTCCATTCCATAACAAATGCGCGGAACAAGCTTACGTTTGTTGCTTGATAGACGCTAACGCACAACTACAACTACCGCATTTGTCCAGGACTACACGTAGTGCGAGCGGAAACCGAGGTAAGCGGATATGACACGATAGACTGGCGACTCCCAGCTCACCCCTGCTCACACGCCCCGTTTCCTTGGTTAAAATCTCAATTTTCTCGCGATTTAAACATTGTTTGAAACATTTGGAATATTGTGAGTTATCATCTTTACTAAATATATAACACTGGCCTTGTGATTTTGGGATATTTTAATGCAAAAATCTTAGGTATTCCACCTTTAAGTTGATTTGACCAAAGAAAAACCGTTGTGATTACAAATCATGAAAATATTTTTTTACAGTATAGATGAATAATTAATTAAATACATTAAAACAAGATTCGAAAATAACTAAAATTAATAAAACAGTTAAAATTAATTAAAGCTAAATAGAAATAGAAAGAAACTGAAACAAATTGATAAATTTGACAAACAATGTTTTACAAACATTAACAAAAACACATGAAATGTGTCAAAAGAAAATGAGAGCTAATTCAAAATATTAGTATCTAAACAATACTAAAATAACACTGTGTAAGATCATAAAAGCTATTTTATATAGCATAGCATAACATCTGATAAATGCAAAACAATTTTTTTTTTGTATAATTGCTTTACAGTTAAAATATCAAAAAATCTATCAAATAAACTTGCAGCACTATATGATATATTAAATCAAAATATTTTTGGAAGTTTTTTCTCCACTTTTTTCAGTTGTTTATACTTAAAGTGAAAAATGTAGGGAAACAAATTTGATCCTTACGTTTATAGCAACAAAGTTTGTCCTAATACAGAAGAATTGCCTCACTTCACGCAAAATAAATAAAAAAATAAATAAATAAAATGTACCATCACAACACATTACTCTTTTTTATATATTTAGTTATGGCAGTCAAACGATTAATCGTGATTAATCGCATCCAAAATAAAAGTTTGTGTTTACATAATATATGTGGGTGCACTGTGTATAATTATATATATATATATATATATATATATATATACACACACACATGCTTGTATATATTTAAGAAATATTTTAATATATATACTGTATACAGATTTATATATAATTTATATTATATATAAATATAAATATTTTATATAAAATGTTTTTTTTTTCTTGAATATACATGCATGTGTGTGTTTTTTATATATATACGTATATATATATATATATATATATATATATATATATATATATAATTATACACAGTGCACCCACATATATTATGTAAACACAAACTTTTATTTTGGATGCGATTAATCGTTTGACAGCCCTATATTTAGTAGAAGTATGCTAATTGTCATTCAAAGCTTTTTAGTTCAAACTCCAAACTCGCAGATCATAACACTAACCAACCCTACAGTGTCGAAAACGTTTTTACACAATCATTCTTTGAGCATATTATGATGACTCTAGACTCTATGCAGGCTCTAATGCAGCGCAGGGTCAGTAAAAGGCTCTTGTAGGAAAGCATGAAAAGCCTCTCTGCATCTTTGATGACTAAAGCTCTGTGAACTATCTGAAGGTAAGAGGGTCAGCTGGTACCTTTCCTCTTTGCTCTGGGGTTTGCGTTTGGCATCCGAGATATCCAAGCTTTTACTGAACACGTTCTTACTGCAGCGGGAGACAAAGTGAGCAACAGTGAGTCTCTGAACAAAACAACAAAGAACTGAACTAACCGGCTATCAAGAATAACAGACAGGGAAGGTATTCACTTTTTTTTTTTTTTCAATGGCGTTGGTTACGGAAAGTTATTTTTCTCATTCGGTTTTAGCTTTTTGGAATGATTTTCCAAGCCTAAAATTTGAAGCGTCACAGGAAAAATGGAGTTTAAAAAGGTAGAGTCGAGAAAAAAAGGAGTGAAATCCGGGATGAATGTGAATGAAAGGAATCGTTTCTCAAACCTCTGACAGTATTTGCCTCACAGTGGCGTTTCTCAAAGCGAACGCAATGACAAATAGCCAGAGGGGTCATGAAAAATTCCTGAAGTGGGAATTAGTTGAAAATCTCACTGGAAAACACAGCCTGCACTCAGTGCGTCATCAAATGTGCAACAAAACCACACACAAAAACAGATTTCTCTCTATTTTGATGTTTTGTTTTGAGTATTGAGTAAGGCACAAGAAACCCCGAAGCGGCAAACACTGAATTATTCGTAAAATTTAGGATAGGTGGAAATAAAGCTGTAGTCTTGCTCACAGACTCCAGTTAAGACTTAATGGGACAGTACAGGCTTTATATATATTTATATAATCTGGATTTGGGTCCGAATTAAAAAATATCCAGCTTGGGCTCGTCCATATAACGGCAGTGATAGAGACCAGCGTACCGTATCAGAACAACACCAGGGCGAACCTTAATTTTAGCGCAAAATAATATAACCCTTTAACCAGGTAACAGTTGTTGTTGTTGTTGTTTTTTTACAGTATCATTTGTTAGTCTTAATATATATATATATATATATATATATATATATATATATTAGGGCTGTCAAACGATTAATCGCGATTAATCGCATCCAAAATAAAAATTTGTGCTTGCATAATAACATGTGGGTGCACTGTGTATAATTATTTTGTATATATACTGTGTATATATATATATATATATAAATACACACACATGTATGTATATTTAAGAAAAAAAATATTTTATATATAAAATATTGATATTTATGTATAATATAAATTATATAAAAATCTATATACAGTATATACATGAAAATATTTCTTAAATATATACAAGCATGTGTGTGTATTTATATATAGAAAATAATTATACAGAGTGCACCCACATATATTATGTAAACACAAACTTTTATTTTGGATGCGATTAATCTTTTGACAGCCCTAATATATATATATATATATATATATATATATATATTATTTATTTATTTATTTATTTATTTATTGGAAAATATCTATTTAAATGAATGTACTGGTTAACTTAAAGCTCTACTGACAAAAAATGTACAGCAAAAGACAGTGAAAAGACTAACAAATGCTACTGTAAAAAAAAAAACAACAAAAAAAACAATAGCAACTGTTAACTGGTAAAGGGGTTAGTTCCCCCTAAAATTAAAACTGTCATAATTTACTCGCCCTGGTGTTGTTCTGCGTTATGCTGGTCTCTATCACTGCCTGTATATATATATATGGACGAGCACGAGCCGGATATTTTTTAATTCGGACCCAAATCCAGATTCAAAACGTGTATTTTCAGAATTCCAGAGCACTGTGCCACATCCAGCTGACTGCACTCTTATCTATGTGTCCAGTTTTCATTCTTTTTATTACTCTTTAAATACATTTTAAATAAATTTCTAATCAATGTCTTGTTCTTTACTTTTAGTGTCACTCTTATTGCTTATGCACTTGTTGTAATTATTTTATGATTCTATTTTAAAATCATTTTTATAGCATTTTGAATTGAGTTTGAATTTTTTGATGTGCTATATAAATAAACTTTTTAAATAAAATAAACTCCGAAAAAGAAAGAAGGGCACACAGCATTAGAACAACACCAGGTTGAGTTTTAGTTTTCATTTTAGGGAGAACTATCCCTTAAACAGTGACTGTTCAATTTTGGAAAGATGAAAAAGAGCATATTACAATTTACAGTGAAAAAAAAAAATGTAAATTGACTTTCCCAGAATTCTCAGTGTGATGCCTCACAATTGATGTTTATAGAGTTTTTTTTTCTTATCAGTTACTTACTGTACATTCATGTTTTATGTTACATTATGTTGTAAATGTAACAAAAGCATTATTTCGACTCATCCCTTAGTTTTTGAACACAAATAGATGTTTTCCGTAGACGTAAAGTAGCATCTCTAGAGAAGGATGGATGTAAAGTATAATAAAAGTGTGTGTGTGTGTGTGTGTGTGTGCGTGTGTGTGTGTGTGTGTGTGTGTGTTTCCTGCACCTCTGTCCGTGCTGTGTCATGTCGATGGCTCTCCGTGCCGGTACAGGTGAACCTCCATCCGTAACGCTCAACACCTCCATCGACTTCCTCTCCGGCCTCCGCTTCCCGTGTCTGTTCAGCATGGGTGAGTCTACGCGCTTCCGTGGTGGATCTGCCACACACACACATACACACACACACACACACACACCAGTGTTGTAGTCGAGACCACCTCACTCGAGTCCGAGTCGACACCGAGACCAGAGAGAGTCGAGTCCGAGTCGAGTCCGAGACCAGAGACGGTCGAGTCCGAGTCGAGACCGAGACCAGTGAGGGTTGATTACCTAATTTACTTTTATTTACTTCGAAAAATCCTTTTTTTTTTTTTTTTTTACTGAATTTCCTTAGAGTTTAAAAAATATGATCAGTTTAGGGTAAAACGGCCACATAGTAGGTGGTGTTAAAAGTAATTTTATTACAATTTGTCATGCGCAGTTGCGCACTAGAAAATCACCAATCACTGGGCGTGTCAATCAATTTAGTGCGAGTACGAGTCAATTCCGAGTCCAAATGGACACGAGTCCATGACAAGACCAAGACCATTAAAATATGGTCTCGAGACGAGTCCGAGTCTCGAGTACTACAACACTGACACACACACTCGTGTTCATTTTTTGGGCGGTAAAGCCGCTCTCAGCAGTGCTTGTGATTGTGTAATCATCCCCAATTTTTTTTAATTTTTTATCTTTTTTATGTTGATCGAGCATTCATCGAGAGAGTCACCGTGCCCAGTTTGATGACCTGTTGTCCCGCATCGGAGCGAGGATCACCGTCACCCTCATCCACATAATCTGTCATTTATTTTTGTTTTGATGATACATAGATCCAGCCTCCAAAAGTTATTAACCTGTCCTGGGATTTTCTCTCTCTCACGTCCAGACACGAACTTATGCACATATGTGTTGGTTGTCTTTACATCATAATAATATTTCATATAATCTAGGTATGGAATAAATTACACTCAATACAAAAACGAAGGTGTCTGGTAAATTGAAAAGTTTTAAGTGATAAAATATTTGCTTTGTTGTGCAAATTACAAAATAATTTATTGAAGCATCCAGGTACTTCCCCACATGAGCAAGCAGCTAGGCTCCTGATTGGTTAGCACGGCGCAAATTGACGCCAAAGTTTAGCTTTTTCAACTCGGGCGGCAGACGCGAATTCGCGTCAAACACATGAATACACAAATAGCACTAAAGGCCAATTTATACTTCTGCGTCGAGGGTACGCCGTAATGTGCGGCGTTGGCTACGCACGTAGGCGACGCCGTTGTGAGCATTTATACTTCTGCGTTCAGGTCTTGTTGCTCTGCAGTACTGCTCCGAAACTCTAGTTGGCGGCGGAGGGTTTTAATGTTCCACTGTGTTTAGATTCCTCACGGCTAGGGTACTACAAGCAATAGCGATTGAAAGAGAGCTGATCATGTTGGAGTTGGAGCTTATTGAGGTGGAAAAACAGTTCACTTTAGTGAAATTACTAAAACTAAAACGCAGAAATGACAGAAGACGTCGGAGGAGATGGTACGTGTGGAAATCATAGACAGTGATGGAAATGCGTGAGAAGGTACGTGCGGAAAAGCGTAGGAGGAAATGCGATGCTACCAAGCCGACCAATCACCGATCTTGCGGTCCGCGTCGTCGCGACGTGTAGTTACATTTTTGAGGAGGTGCGCGTCAGGCAACGGCGAAGGGTACGCGCAATGGGACTCGTCTGTGCGTATGCTACGCCGTACCTACTGCGCGCACCCTACGCAGAAGTATAAATTGGCCTTAACAAAATCATTCACGCTTAACGCGGCAGACGCTCAATTCGCACCATTCGCGTGAACTTGACGCGCGAATGAGGCGTATCCGCGTCTACCGTGCCGCGCTCTACACCTTATTCGCGCCGGAGGAATTTTTTACGCGCATAACGCGTTTTCCATTGACTTAACATTGAAATCACTCGCGCCTGAAGGCCAATTTATACTTCTGCGTAGGGTGCGCGCAGTAGGTACGGTGTAGCATACGCACAGACGCATCCCATACCGCGTACCCTTCGCCGTCGCCTGACGCGCACCTCCTCAAAAATGTAACTACACGTCGCGACGACACGGACCGCAAGATCGGTGATTGGTCGGCTTGGTAGCATCACATTTCCTCCTACGCATTTCCGCACGTACCTTCTCACGCATTTCCATCACTGTCTATGATTTCCACACGTACCATCTCCTCCGTCATCTTCTCTCATTTCTGCCTTTCAGTTTTAGTAATTTCACTAAAGTGAACTGTTTTTCCACCTCAATAAGCTCCAACTCCAACATGATCAGTTCTCTTTCAGTCGATATTGCTTGTAGTAACCTAGCCGTGAGGAATCTAAACACAGTGGAACATTAAAACCCTCTGCCGCCAACTTGCGTTTCGGAGCAGTACTGCAGGGCAACCAAGACCTGAACGCAGAAGTATAAAGGCCAATTTATACTTCTGCGTCGAGGGTACGCCGTAGTGCGCGGCGTTGGCTACGCACGTAGGCGACGCCGTTATGAGCATTTATACTTCTGCGTTCAGGTCTTGGTTGCTCTGCAGTACTGCTCCGAAACGCTAGTTGGCGGCGGAGGGTTTTAATGTTCCACTGTGTTTAGATTCCTCACGGCTAGGGTACTACAAGCAATATCGATTGAAAGAGAGTGGATCATGTTGGAGTTGGAGCTTATTGAGGTGGAAAAACAGTTCACTTTAGTGAAATTACTAAAATGAGAGAAGACGTCAGAGGAGATGGTACGTGTGGAAATCATAGACAGTGATGGAAATGCGTGAGAAGGTACGTGCGGAAAAGCGTAGGAGGAAATGTGATGCTACCAAGCCGACCAATCACCGATCTTGCGGTCCGCGTCGTCGCGACGTGTAGTTACATTTTTGAAGAGGTGCGCGTCAGGCGACGGCGAAGGGTACGCGGTATGGGACGCGTCTGTGCGTATGCTACGCCGTACCTACTGCGCGCACCCTACGCAGAAGTATAAATTGGCTTTAAATGCTCACAACGGTGTCGCCTACGTGCGTAGCCAACGCCGTACACTACGGCGTACCATCGACGCAGAAGTATAAATTGGCCTTGATGCGCTATTCGCGTCCGATGTGAACGCACTAGAGGGCTGCATTGGGATTGGGTCCCGCGGGACCCAACGCAAATCTCGCGGGAGCGGGCGGTTTGAACTTTGATGCGGGCGGGAATGGGCGGCGAAAAAAAACGGCTGCGGGATCAGGAGGTAGCCTTCACATGATGGAGAATGAGAAGATGTCAATAAATGACGTGGAAAATAACCTCAAAAGAGGTATTTTCAGCACAAAAACTAAGGCAAGTCTGACATTTGGAGAAGTTTCTCAATTGTCTGTGACAAAGACGGAAAGGAACTGGACTTTGTTCATTCTGACAAATGTGCAAAAATACTCGTCTATAGCCTATTGTATTTATATATATATATATATATATATATATATATATATATACACATAATTTTTTTTTTTTTTTTTTTTTTTTTGCAAAGCAGTCTTTTTTATGTGCCCTGGGATGGTGCTTGATAAATGTTAAAAAAAGGTTTAAAAGGTTTTGATAAAAATGAAATTATATTTGAATGTATTGTGTTTTGTCTTGTTCTCATAAGCTAGCTGCTTTCAGACTTGCTTTCTGTTCATTTACAATAATTACATTATTATCAAGCCTGACGGAATACAATAGCCAAAATCAAAGTACTTGAGAAACGCGCGGTAGCCTAAGCATTTTAAATGTCCCCGAACGATAGCCAGGATTCATCTTCCTGATCAGTGCAGAATACATGCGGGCCAGGGAAACGAAACAAACAACCCCATGAATCTCTTTAATAATAGTAATACAAATAAGTGTTTTTTTTTTTCCTGCGGGACGGGAGAAGACACAAAATCAATGCATCTCTATTATTGTGCGGGAATAAATTCTCAGAGTTTTGCGGGTGCGGGCGGGAGTGGACATACATTTTGCGGGTGCGGGCGGGAGCGGAACACATACGTTGCGGGAGCGGGCGGTAATGGTCAGAAATTCGGCGGGTGCGGGCAGGAGCGGGATGAAGAAAACAGTCCCGCGCAGGACTCTAGAACGCACCATTATAATGATGTATAATTTGCAAAAAGTAAAATGCATCTGTGTAGATGAGAGAATCCTCTACAGTGTATGCACGTTGTTCACACTCTGTATTATGGCCAAGCATGCGCGCTTAAAATAGCATCTGAATGTACGTGCAAACGCTAGTTTTTTTCTGGAACTGCAAAATAGCACCAGGGAATGTTTGCGCCAAAACACGCCTCCTGAACCGCCTTTACTCCGCAAGTTCAGTCCCTAGTTTGCCGGGCTGCGTCTGTGGAGGGAAAAGTCTGCTTTGCACAGGTGCAAAATTCGAATGATGACATGCGTCGATGTACGAAGTCAATTGCGCTTGGTGCAAAATAGGGCCGTAAGTGTACTTGTCTGATTTATTTGCTCTGATCTGAGATCTGAATGCTCATTTCTTACCGATATCATTGCGAGGAGGAAGGTTCTGGTCTTCTTGGCTGGGGTATCTCTCCTTACGGTCCAACAGAAGGAAATAGATCATCTTCTCCTGATTTTCACTGATAAAACAGAAGACGGGAAACGGAATATGTAAATAGGCACATTAGAAATAGCTAAATTATCATTTTCTACCTTATAGATTGAACAAATTGTCTTTATTCATCCATAAGATATAATGAAAATGTAAAATAAATGATATAAAGAAATAATAAAAAATATCCTAATTGAATAATAAAGGTTGGGTCCTCTAGTTTTACATAAATAACAACATCTTTATCAATTTTTCTGTAGGCAACAAGATTATAAAAGCTTATGCGTCTATAATATGATCCCTTTTTTTTCCTCCATATGAGGGCCATTGTGTTTTTCTTTACTCCCGAGGTGAGATCTGACCCTAGATCAGTGTGCGGTCACTCACTCGTCAGATAGCAGGTCCTTCATCAGTTTGCTCTTGTCCCGAAAGCACCCGAGCGAGTGCATGCTCTCCAGGACGTCGGGGTCGATGTCTTCGGCAGAAAGGATACAGCGGATCGCCACCTTGCGCGGGACCGGCTGCTCCGGCTCGGGTTCGTTCTTCCCTCCTCTGAGGAGAACACATATCACAAACTCTCACACTGAGACTATCCACAGCTCAGAGAGACAAACACATCCAAACACAAGCTCTGTATATGTGTGCGAGATTCCCTTCTATCATAACAGTACCCATGTATTGTGTGGAAAAGGACTGCGTGAACATTCTGCTAGGCTTCTCCTGTTGTGATCCACAGAAGAAAGTCAGTCGTATGGGTTTGGAACAACAGGATAGGCGATTAACTTTTTTTTTTTTTTTTTTTCAGGGTGATTGTCATTTTTGGACAATTTCATTTATTTAATGTGAATGAAAAAGAGGGACGGAACCGTTGTAGTGGGTGACAATCATTCAGACAACAAATATTAAAAATGAACCAGTGGAGAAAATACAAGGACATGGATTGCCAAAATTTGGCGTGACTTTCGTCCCTTCTGTCTTCATTTTTTTCATGACCAATTAAATGTGCTATTCTAAGGTTGAATTAAAGCTATTTTGTCAGGGAAAACTTGATTAATAGTGAAAATTTTCATTTATTTTCTTACTTTTAAACAAATTGTATCTATTGGGAATTGATTAGGTTGTAAAAAGTAGGCAGAATATAAAATTAATTGTAAATAAATCGATAAATATATAGCTATTGGGTTCTTTACTAATATCAATATGAACATAATATATAATATTAATATATATGATATATTAAATTGAATTTAATATATTTATTTTAATATTTTACAAAACAGTAACAATATATATATATATATATATATATATATATATATGAAGAGTTCAGATGCAAAAGCCTCTAAGAGCCATTTGAAATTTTCTTCTAAAATGATAATTTTTATCAAGTTTGTATATTTAAGTTCAGTAATTTCACTTAAATGGCAATGAAGATTACCTATTATTTGTCATTTAAGTGAAATTACTGAACTTAAATATACAAGCTTGATAAAAATGGTCATTTTAGAAGAAAATTTCAAATGGCATTTAGAGGCTTTTGCATCTGAACTCTGCATATATATATATATATATATATATATATATATTAATCCCAGACATTAACTCTTCCCCACCAACGAAAATTATATATATCAGAGGCTTATACACACACACACACACACACACACACACACACATATATATATATATATATATATATATATATCATACACACACACAATTACTTAATGAAGAAAAACATATTTTTGTCACTGAAATAACAAGCACTAATTAATTGTACACAATAAATCCCAAAACATAATCTACATAAGAATGTGAACAGAAATGCATACTCTATTTCATCTGTCGGTGGGTTCAGAAAAGTGTCAGAGCACAATTAATAAGTCAACACCAGCATGTGTTACATTCACTTCTGAACACTTACAGCTTGTTATGACCCTAAATCCATGACAAGCGTCTTCATAACCTTCTATCTCAGACCTATTCGAAATATTAGCTGTTGCCATCTGTTAGAAAAGATGCTGGTGTGTATGAGAGCAGCTAAAAAAACACACGTATTCTGCTTAAAAATGCAGGCGCCAATCAGGAGGTGTGTGTGCCATGTGTGTGACCCCAGAGAGGCAGTCAGACAGGAGGTCATGATACGAGCATCTCTCTCCCTCTCTCTCTCTCTCTCTCTCTCTCTCTCTCTCTCCCGAGGAAGCCAGACGACGGAGCGGACAGCAAATCCCTGCCGGGGCTCGGGACATTTGTCCTTGCCGCTGACATGTGGGGTCTGTGCCATTTATCACACATACACACACACACACACATTGTAAGACTCGCTCACATTTGATCCCCTTCTATCGTGCCGTCCCTGATGCCCACCCCGTTTCTAGTCATTCTGTGTCTGTGTGTCACAAGTATTGTTTCCAGCCCTAAATAGACAAATTATGGGAGTGTGTGTACTTACATGTACCACGTGTGTTTCTGGATCAGCTCTAACTGTAAGAGAAGCACACACACAGACTGTTAGATGCACATCAGGAAAACAGCAGTCATTCATGAAACAACAACAACAGAACATGATGAGTCCGAATTAATCACTCAGATCACATTCATGATTCAAGTAAATTGAAGATGAAATTAAAATGAAGTGTATTTGTCATGTATGGTGCCATTAGAAAAAAGAAATCCTTAATCTGGGATATTCAACAACATAAAATCAATTACATATTTATTTTTTATTTATTTTTTTATTAGGGCTGCCAAATTATAACATTAATTTAGTCTGATTAAATATTTAAAATAGTGCTAGGCAAATCGCATCCAAAATAAGTTTGTGTTTACATAATATATGCGTGTGTGTTGTATAATTATTTATAAATACAGTACAAATACATGTATATATTTAAGAAATATTTGCCTGTATATATTATTTATAAATTAAATATACATACTTTATATATAAATAACACATTTTTCATAAATATATACATGCATATTGTATTTACATAATAATTATACACAACACACACACACATTATGTAAACACAAGCTTTTATTTTGGATGTGATTAATCGTTGCCCAACACTAATATAAAACAATAAAAAAACTAAAACAATAAAAACAATAGTTTTTTTTTATTTTAATAATATATATATATATATATATATTAAAATAAAAAACTATTGTTTTTATTGTATTGTTTTATATTAGTGTTGGGCAACGATTAATCATCACATCCAAAATAAAATCATTAATCATCACATCCAAAATAAAAGCTTGTGTTTACATAATGTGTGTGTGTGTGTGTGTGTTGTGTATAATTATTATGTAAATACAATATGCATGTATATATTTAAGAAAAATTTGTTATTTATACATAAAGTATGTATATTTAATTTATAAATAATATATACATGCAAATATTTCTTAGGGTTCCCTGTATGTAAAAGTTGTCATAAAATATATTTCATATTATTTTTTATAGTACTATTATGCTTTTAATATCAATATTATACTTAACATTTAATAAGTAAAAAAAACCACTTTTTTAAATTTTATTTTATTTCAATGAAGGAAAATGCTTTTTATGGTTTTAGTTTTAAGTTATGGTTTTAATTTAACTACTATTTTTGAATGTATATATATATATATATATATATAGTTTTATTCATGAATGACTGGATTCATAAAAATTTCTGAGGTTCACTAAATCACAATGAAAGATTTCAAGATTTCACATTGACCTGTCCCTATAGGGCACACACAAACAGGACAAACACAGCAGGCTGCTTTACATACTGTATCATTTAAAGAGTCTCTATCACAACAAGTTTGCGATTCTTAGCCAGTATATGCTGCATAAAGCACCAGCTTTTAGTTTTAATTAGTCCGCTGTGAAGTCCAGTGTTGGCAAACGGGCCACTGAGGGAGAACATGAGCCTTCTGGAAAATGACGGATGGGACACCCTACAGTCCCGCGACCTTCACGGACGTGCAAGCGAAGGCCATGAGACCGCAAATCCACATCAAGAGCACCAAAGTCTGGCTGCACACGATTAAGTCCAGGTGTAATCTAGACACACACAGATCACCGTTCACTTTTAATATGAAACAACATGCATCACCATGTGATGACAAATTGCTGTGCGCAGAGATGAGAGGTGCCGTGATATCCAATTATTATTTGCATATCTATGCTTGAGGGGGTCATAACATTTCTCAATCATCCGTTTCTATGATTTGTATTTTACTGTTACACACTCAGTTACACACTCGCTTGCATGCAACACCCTCCAACGAAAACAATTTTCATTTAAGAAATATAATTCACAAAGAAATGCACATATACTATTTAAAAACGTTAATGGCCAAGTTTGTTAAATATGCGGACTTTATGCAAATAGATTTGAGTGAAAACAAATGTGCAAATTTCGCTTTGAACTTTCGCTTTGAAAAAGATGTCTGAGATACATCTAAACTAGGGCTGGGAAAACGCGTCGACATCATCGATTACGTCGACGCAGTCACGCAAAAAATACGTCGACGCAAAATATGCGCGTAGATTCGTCAGATCCAAAACAAAAAAGGTGGAAATCCGGCGACCTATGTGGCGTTTCCTGATGGATCGAGGTTGTTCATTTTATACGTTCAATTCACACGAGCTCTAAGTGCGTGCGAGACTGCTGCAAGTATGCGCTTATAGCTATTAATGCCGTGGAAAATACATAGAGGACACTGACAACACGCTGGCAGACAGGACCAAGAAAGTAACATTTAATAAAGTCTCTTTCAAATTTGGTCAGTCAAAGAAAATGAAACCATAAATAGGCCTACTATTTTGTGGTTATTTAATGTGTCGTGACAGATTGCACTTTTTCAGTATGCTAGGCCTATGCGTTTTCAAGGCTTCAAGGTTTTATTTAATGCTACCTCTGACTAAGAATGCTTTGCACTTGCATAGACTTTTATTTGGGAATTTTAAGAGCAATAAAAATACATTGCAATGTTAAAGGAACACTCCGACTTTTTGGGACTTTAGCCTATTCACCTTACCCCCCAGAGTTAGATAAGTCCATACATACCTTTTTCATCTCCGTGCGTGCTATAAGTCTGTTTGACGCACCCACCGCTAGCCTAGCTTAGCACAAAGACTGGATGTGAATGGTTGCAGCTTTCAGACTAATCCAAATGAGTGACAAAATAACGCAAACGTTTTCCTATTTACATGTTGTGGTTTGTATAGTCACAGACTGTACAAATAAGAAGGCCATATGAGACACAGACATCTTTTAACCGTATAAATACTATATTTTCTGAAGGCGAAGCACTGCTACTTGGGCAGAGTGATAACAATCACCTGAGACGCACCGTGACGAGGAGCAGAGAGTTCGCTTCGCTCAGCGTTGGAATAAAGAGTCAGCAATTACTAACGTTAGATAGAAAAGCATAGTTTATCATGGGTGTTTGCTTTATTGTATGAGCTGTGACAATAAACAGGGGAGACCAGGTAATGCAGTACCATGTTTCATTGATTTCCAACCAAAAACGCACCCAGATTTATAAATATCACATGAATAAATAATTATTATTACAGGAATCAATATATTTTAAATGCAATTTATTAGCTGAACCAAATGTATTCAACAGTAGCCTATATAATATACAGTATTGCATTACTATAGGATAGAATAAGGGGAAAGTAATAGCACAAATTGTTTTTGCACAATGAACTCACAGCCTATCGTACCCTTTTGCACGCTCAAGTTCGTTATTTCCATGGTTATTTCAAATTTAGGATACTAGGCACGCCGCGCGCAGGGTGCAACTTCAACGCGGTGAACGCGCTCGTTTTTTTTTTTCCCAAGCGCGTCCGCGCCGCATCAAGATAAAAACATATTCATACCCTAATCATATAATAGTGTCACTAACGTTACATTAGATCTGGCTAAAGGCACTGTTACAGTAGGTCATCTAAAAACATAACGGAACACTTACCTCAGCCGCAGGTGATCCACTTCTGTGCTATCAATGGGATGGCCGTATCCTTCAGCACATTATGGTCCGTGTGGCAAATTCCATTTTTTCAAAATAGTCGTCCATTGAAATGTACCGAGCAAACATAATGTCCCTTGATAATCTATTTAGGTGTGTTTGGATAAATATCCAGAGTAAGTTAGCCATTTCTTCATCCAGTCAGCGTTTTTAGTTGGAATTCTGTGAAACATGGTATTACCTCCCCTGTTTACAGTCGCAGCTATTTACAATAGAGCGAAAACCCATGACTCTAAACTACGCTTTTACTATTTATAAATTGCTGACTCTATTACCCAAACACCGAGCAAACTCTCCGCTCCTCACAATGGCGTGTCTCCGGTGATGCGGTTCACTCCGCCAAAGTAGCAGTGCTTCGCCTTCAGAGAATAGTTCCCAGGTTTTATACGGTTAAAAGATGTCTGTGTCTCATTTGACTTTGTTATTTGTACATTCTGTGACTATACAAATCACAACATGTAAATAGGAAAACAATTGCGTTATTTTGTCACTCATTTGGATTACTATGAAAGTGCAACCATTCACATCCAGACTTTGTGCTAAGCTAGGCTAGCGGTGGGTGCGTCAAACAGACTTATAGCACGCACGGAGATGAAAAAGGTATGTATGGACTTATCTAACTCTGGTGGGTAAGGTGAATAGGCTAAAGTCCCAAAAAGTCAGAGTGTTCCTTTAAGGAATTCGTGTTTTTTTTTTTCATTCAGATATAAATAAACATGTATACATTTTAAATAATCGATAATCAAATCCAAATCGAATCGGACTGGGAAAATGAATCGATTAATTGATCCATCGTAAAAATAATCGCTAGATTAATCGTTTAAAGAATAATCGTTTATCCCAGCCCTAATCTAAACATATCCAGGCTCTTCCGAGCGGAAGTGAATGGGGGGCGAGATTTTGAAGAAAAAAAAATGCATTTAAAGGTGCATTGCGCAACATTTCATTCACCCGTTTCTCTAACCCATACATGAATGAGCCATTCTCTGATCACTGTGATTGCCTCCATAATCATGTACAGTAAAATAAAAAAGAGGAATTTGGGACGGACTTTGAGACTAGGCGTGACGTCATGCTCCGTATTAGCGAAGACAACCCGAGTGACAAAACTTTAGTCAACTTTTGACAAAAGTAGAAGATGGATTCAAAGAGACCAGCTTCCAAACCCCAACGCAAACTCCACGTAAGACAAAGAAAATCTAACTTTTGTCTAGTGGCAGGCGTCGGAATAAGACGAGAGTCAACATCGGGAAGCTTTCAACAAATGGAGAGATCTCCTGTCGGCTCTAGGGCTCAAACGGGTCCAATACAAAGTAATAACTTATATTGTTCATGAACGTGTTTCCAATACAATCATAAGTGGATATAGTAAGCACATAAAACAAAAACCAAAGTTTTCTACTACCCCTGTTCTCCCCTCACAAATAAGCGTGTAATTTACTCAG